CTATTCTCTTCTGTCCCCTGGTACTGTCTGATTGTGCTGCCGTCTCTCTGGCGTCAGATTTACTCGCACGCAGGATTTACAAAGCTGGTCTTTCAAGCGCGCGTTTTATTGATTGTGAGCGTTCCCGGTCCTTGGAAAGTGGTGGTCCCGCTGCAGCGTTGGCTACATTTCAGGATCGGCGCTTTGCTCCCGTCGTGCAGAATGGCGCTCTCGTCGTTGCCGCCCCCCTCCTTTCCCCTCCTCCTCTTTCCCCTTGCCCTCCCGGTCTTCCTGGTCCTGCTGGTTCTCTTGCTCCTTCTGCTCCTGCTGCTGCTCCTGCTTCTCCTCCTCCTCCTCCTCCTCCTTCCTCGTCCTCCTCGTCTTCTTCCTCAAAGCATTCCGCGAGCGACTTGCGAGCAGAATAGGGGTCACGGGGAGCAGATCCTGGTCTTCTTCGGCCCAGGGAAGAGCACCTCGCCTGAACAAACTGACCTGCTTCGGCTCTGTTCGGTAACACTCGTTCTGGAGCTGTCGGTAGGCTACACTGCCTTGATACCCCGAGTACAGGGGCCGCAGCGATTACGAACAACCGCACGGCCCTCAGATTCCACAACCCTGGGGAAGTCCAGTGTACGCAGCTCCTCCCCCTGATAGCGCATCACACGATGAGGTCATTTTTGGGATCAAGGTCCTTTAGGACGCCTGAGTCGGCGGATAATAATAATAATAATAATATTAATAATAATAATAAAAATAATGATAATAATAATAATAGTATTAATAATAATAATAATAGTAATAGTAATAAAAATAAAAATAATAAAAATAACAATAATAATAGTAATAATACTAATGATAGTAATATTACTAATAATATTAATACTAATAATAATAATTCAGCTCAATGGGACAGGATGTGTTGGAGGTGTAGTGTGTCAGATATGGCGCGAGCGCGTCCAGCTTGCCCCTCCAATCTCTCCCCTCCGCCCCCTCCCCCCCTCCCCCTCCCCCTCCCTCCTCTCCCTCTATCCTCTACCCCCTATCCACTCCACGGGCAGGCACTCCAGGGCAAGTGCTTGACAGCTTTCCAGTGATACGTGCTCGCCACCCCTCTCTCCCTCCTTCTCCCCTCTCCTCCATAACTCCCCTTCCTTTGACACGCGCTGGTCTCCCCTCCCTCCCTCCGTTCTCCCTTTCCCCCTCTTTCTGTACCTTTCTGGAATTGGTCCCCCCTCTCCGACCCCTCTTTTCCTTCTCTCCCCCATGATTTCCCCGCTCTTCCCCCCGAGCCCGTTCTTTCCACTCTCAATCCTCCTGCTTTCCAACATGTACCCCCATCCCCCCTCTCCCATTGCATCTCACGGTAGACTCGTTGCCACTGCTGGCGTAGCCATTCAATGTCCCCAGGCTGCCCCAGCCGAACATCAGATTCCCGCAACCAGTCCGTTGATTCCGCGGGTGCTGCTGCTCCCAGATCTCCGACGGCATGATTTTTCCGTGACTTGGCCCCTCAGAGCTCTCGACCCCGTCCCCTGGGCTAGTCTTCCTCCTCTTGGATCGGTCTCCAGAGGCCGAAAAAGCTCGGAAGAGCCGGCCGCCATGACCTTTTCGTAATGAAGGAGTTCCAGGTCTCGAGGACTCGAGAGGCCTTCATGCAGGGGCTCCCCCAGAGGCCTCTGGAGGCTTCCCGATGCTGCAGAGAGAGGACGACGGGGGTTGACTCCCCCTCTCTGGTTCTTCCTCCGAGGAAGAGTGCGGGAGATGGATGGGTTAGCGGGCAAAGAGCGGTATAGCGTACACTTGTCCGCCGTCGGGGACGTTTGCCCCCCGGGCGGCTGGAACGTTCATACCCAGTTGTGCCATCGGAAGGGCCTAGATTTTCGAGCCGCCCTGGGGCCAAAGGCCAGAAGCTCAAAGATCATGGGATGCCCCCAGAACCTCGGTGGGGTGAGGCGAGGCGGGTGGCCTCTGAGCAGTCAGTGCGGGCTCTTCGAAGCCCTCCCGCCTTCTGGAGGTGCCCTCTTCCAAGCCCTCCTGTTCCGAGAAGCCTTCTTCCCCGACCTCCCGTTCCGAGTTTTCTTGGCCGTGCCAGGGCCCGGTGAGGCTTCCCGGAGGCCCACCACGGCCCAGAAGCCTTCCGTCGTGTTTTTCCACGGCGCGAGGATCGGATCTCGGATCTCGGATCTCGGATCTCGGATCTCGGATCGGATCGACCTCGATTTCGGATCTCGATCTCGGATCTTGTGTGTCGGAGTCTTCCGGGATCTCGGGGATCGGCCCCGCACCCGAGAGGAGCTCGCCGGCCTCGGGCAGCGCTGCCTGCCAGTGGAGCTCGGGGGCCTGCGCCCCCGCGTCTTCCCCTACGACGAGTCGGCGGCGACGTCGGAGTGGGGCGGCGCATAGCGCTTCGCGTCGCGTCGGCGGCGCGCGGGAAGCACCGAGGGAAGAAACTCGGGGCCTCCCAGATGGAGTCGGAGTGGACGGGGTCGGAGGATCGCTCCGCATCGACGATACATCGGCAATGCATTGGAGATGCGGCGCGACCCTCCAGCCCCATCTGCTCGGACCCCATCTGGGATGCCTCGATGCCTCTGAAAAACATGATGACAATGACCGATGTATCGCGGGATCTGGTCGACGCCGGTCTTGGTTTTGGTCCATGCCAGCCTTCGCCAGTTCGCGAGGGTTGTCCACGAATCGACGGTGACCAAGATGGACGGTGATCAAGACCGACACCGATGTTTCCGCGTGCAGTCGTGGTCACTCGGCGGCGCGCCCAGGGGGGAAGCGAGAAGGGGCAGGCCTTTTCACAAGGCGGCGGGGCCTCTCAGAAGCCCTCCAGCCTTCTGTGAGAAGCCGTCTGTCTACGTCTTTGGAGAAGGCTCAGAAGACTTCTCAGAAGGCGGGAGGCCTTTCGAACCTTTTGTTGAGAAGGCTCGCCCCCTCTGAGTTCTCCCCTGGGCTCGCCGCCGAGTCATGCTCACCGTTTCCTTTCCCCCCCCAAGGCAGGCAGGCGCGGGCCGAGCTCGTCGACTCCGGCTCCGGCGGGCGCTCCCCGCGCTGCACCTCGGGCTCGCCGATGCCCGATGGCGGCAGCTCGCCGATCTGGGCGCGGCCTCTTTCAAAGAGTCGGGGCACGCCATATCCTCGTGGCGAGTTTCGGCGGCCCACTCGTGCAGGAGCGGAGCAAGAAGGGGCGGCCTTCTGAGAGGGCAGGGGCCTTGTGGAGAGGACTCAGGGGCATTCACAGGGGCATGCAGATCCTTCCCGAAGAGCCCCCCCATGCCTGCTTGGAAACCCCCACCCCCCTCCCTGGCGCCACCCGTCGTCCCCATCGTCGCCCTCTCCCCCCCCTCCCTGCGGAGTGGCCCACAGCACTTGCCTGCACCAGCCCGAGAAGGTCGCCCCGCGGCCAGGGAGCGAGGAGGAGTGGAAGTGGACGCGGAGGGGAACGGGCAGGAGCAGCAGCAGGAGCAACGACAAGCAGTGCGGGCGCGGCTGGCGGCCGTCGCCTGAGCGCCCCGGCTTTGTGTCAAGGCATCTGGAACCTGCTACCATCTGGGCCTCCCAGATGGGGTCCGAGTAGATGGGCTCAGAGGATCGCGCCACATCGCCGATGCATCGGCGATGCGGCTCGATGTAGAGCTCGATTTTTTCCACGTCGACGTCGCCGATGCACCACCGGCGTCGCCGATACATCACCGATGCATCGGCGATGCATCGGCGATGTGGCGCGATCTTCCGACCCCATCTACTCGGAACCCACATGGGAGGTCTCTATACCACAAAATGCCTTTTCAATTACATCTGCTGCCTATGGCAAGTCCCGCCACCGTGCCTGGGTTGTGGGTATGAAGCCTATTTGATGTTCGTTGGAATCTCGTAGGAGGCCTTTCAGGGGCCTCTTGGAGGCAGGTTTGAGGCCTCTCGGGGGCCGTTTTGGGGCCTCATGGGGTCTCTTGGGGCCTCTTGGGGGCCTCATGGGGCCTCTTGGGGGCCTCTTGGGGGTCTCTTGGGACATCTTGACCGCCTCTTGGGGCGTCCTGGGGGCCTCTTGGGGCAGAAGGCTCGGATTTTCGGTTCGTGTTCCTTATCTTGGGCACCTTTTGGGGCCGTCTTGGGGGCCTCTTGGGCGGTTTTGGCCGCCTCTTGGGCCGTCTTTGTTCGCTCTTAGGCCGTCTTGGGGCCCTCTTGGAGGCCACTTGGGCGGTTTTGGGGTGGTCTTGGGGGCCTCTTGGGTCGTCTTGGAGCGTTCGAAAGCCGAAAAGGCAGGAGCGCCAACATCTTTCAAAAAGCCAACGGGAAATCAATCATTTTTGCCTCTGGGGGCCCTCTTGGGAGGCCTCTTGGAGGCCTCTTGGGGCGTCTTGGAGGCCCTCTTTTGTCATCTTGAGGCCATCTTGACGTGCCGCTGGCACGGTGGCAGAGTCCAGGAAAATGGCAGTTTCGCTCGAGCTCCCGAGAGGACTCCGAACCAGCATTATCTTGGAATCGCTCCCGGAGGGGTTCAAATCTATCCAAGAGAGTTCCCGAAAGGCCTCCCAGGGGACCCCAAAAGCGCGCCAAGGGGCCCCCAAGAGGCACCCAGAGGCCCCCAAGAGCGCTGGCAGAAGCCCGGGACTTCCCAAGGGAGAGAGCCCCCACAGAATCCTGAGACATGCCCAGACAGCCCAAGAAGACCCCAGTAGCCCCCAAGAGGACCCGACAGACCCCTAAGAGGCCCCCAGGATGCCCCAAGATACTCCCAGACAGCCCCAACAGCCCCCAGGGTAGCCTCAAAAGATGACGTCCTCCTCCATCTCTTCCTCATCGTCCTCGTGCTTGTCTTCCTACTTGTTGTCCTTCTGCTCCTCTCGCTGCCCTTCCCGTCATCCACGCTGCCATCCTCGACATCTGCCGCCTCCTTGTCGTCATTATCCTTCTCTTTCTCTCCCCCCCACGAGCCCAATGGACAAATTCGGCGTTTCCCGTTCTTGTCCGATCAGGACTTTCCACGCCTCAACATGCCGCAGACACGGTGGCGGATTTAAAATTCAGGTTTGCGGTGTGTCCAGTGGGGCTATGAGAGTTACAATCAGACGTTCTTGCACGTCAGCCCTGACAGTGCGCGTCGCCTGCTGTTTGTTTTCTTGCCTAGAAGCGGTTGTTCTGGTCCTCCTTCCTGTCTGTTCCTCCTCCATCTTCTGCTGGCCATCCTCCTGCTTTTCTCCGCCTCCTCCCCTCTTCCCCCCCACCCTCCTCGTCAATCTCCTTACGTCGCCTGCTCCTCCTCCCCCTCCCTCCCTCTCCCTCTCCCCCTCCTCCTGTCCCCCCCCTCCTGCTGTCCTGCTCCTACTTCTCCGCGTCCTGCTGCCCCTCCTGCTTCCCCTCCTGCCACTCCTGCTCCTGCTGTCCGCGCCCTGCTCCTGCTCCTGCTCCAGTACTAGTGCTCTTTCTGCCGTCTTCCTTCTCGATTCCCCTCCTCCTCTTCCTCGTCCTCGTCCTCGTCCTCGTCGTCGTCGTCCTCCTCCTCCTCCTCTTCTTCTGCCTCCTCCTCCACCTCCTCCCCGCTCTCCTCCTTCTCCTCCTTCGTCTCCTCCTCCTGCTCCTCCTCCCCCGTCTCCTCACCCTTCCCGGCTGTCGTAACCTTGGGTTGTGGCACTGAGCTCCACTCGCACCTTCGCGGGACACCGAATCGAGCCATCTCTTCCCCTTCTGATTCTCGTGCTCCTCCTCCTTTTTCCCTGCCTCCTTCTCCTTCTTCTCCCCTCCCTCTCCTTCCCTTCTCCCTCTCCTCCTCCCCCTCTCGCCCTCCTGCTTCTCCTCCTTCCTCTTCTTTGTCCTTAACCCCTTCTCCCTCCTTCACCTACCCCCTGATGACCTCCTTCTGCGCTCCTGTCCTGCTTATCGTTCTTCTGTCTTCCCCTATCTTCTCGCTCCTCCTCAATCTTTTTCCACCTGCGCTTTCTCCTTCTTCTGCTCTGCCTCCAGCTCCTCCTCTTCGCCGCTTGTGCAGGGTTGTGGCGTTTAGCCTTTCTGCGCGCTGTCTCCGCTTGACGTTTTTAAAGGTAGATCGCGTGTTGCGATGTCCGGCGGGGTCACCGCTGTGCATCTTTTTCGCACCCAGGAGGAAGGGCAGGCGGGGGAGGGGTAGGGGGATTTCCATAGGAGAAGGAGAAGCAGGAGGACGATGACGACGACGTCGATGAGGATAATGATAATGATGATGCTGATGATGATGCTGATGATGATGACGCTGCTGCTGATGATGGTGACGATGACGATGATGGTGATGCTGATACTGATGATGATGATGCTGATGCTGCTGATGATGACGATGCTGATGCTGCTGCTGATGATGATGATGATGATGATGATGATGATGATGATGATAATGATGCTGATGCTGATGATACTGCTGATGATGATAATGATGATGATGATGCTGATGTTGATGCTGATGCTGTTTATGATGATGGCGGTGGTGGTGGCGGTGGTGGCGACGATGCTGCTGCTGCTGATTCTGATGATGAGGGTGATGATGAGGATGCTGAGGATGATGATGATGGTGGTGATTACGATGTTGATGCTTATGGTGATGATGCTGATGTTGGCGGTTATGATGATCATGAGGAGGAGTAGGAGGATGAAGATGAGGATGAGGGTGATGATGTAATGATGATGGTGATGATGATGCTGGTGGTACTGATGCTGAGGTTGCTGATGATGAGGATGATGATGATGATGATGATGATGATGATGATGATGGTGGTGATCATGATGTTGATGCTTATGATGATGCTGATGCTGATGATTAGGATGATGATGCTGATTGTTATGATGATGATGCTGATGCTGATGATGCTGATGATGATGATGATGATGATGATACTAATGATGATGCTGCTGATGATGATGAGGATGAGGATGAAGATGAGGGCGATGATGCCAATGATGATGGTGATTCTGATGATGCTGATGCTACTGATAATGATGTTGCTGATGATGCTGTTCATGAGGATAATGCGGATGATGATGAATATTATGATTATATGAGGATGATGATGATGATGCTGATGATGATGATGATGATGAGGATGATGAGGAGGATGATGATGCTGCTGCTGCTGCCGATGATGATGATGATTATGATGATGATGATGATGATGATGATGATGATGATGATGATGATGATGCTGCTGCTGCTGCTGCTGCTGCTGCTGATGATGATGATGATGATGATGATGATGATGATGATGGCTGCTGCTGCTGATGATGATGATGATGATGATGATCATGATGATGATGATGATGAGGAGGAGGAGGAGGAGGAGGCGGAGGAGGAAGAAGCGAAGGCCGAGAAACATGTTTTTTGGCATCCACGGTCAAAGACCCCATTCAAATGGGCAAAAAGAAAAGTAGGAGGATGAGGGGGAGAGGGAGGGCCAGAGAAGAATGAGGAGGAGGATGAGGAAGTGGAGGCGTAGGACGAGAAGCAGGAGGAGGACGAGAAGCAGGAGGAGGAGGAGGAGGGGGAGGAGGAGATCTTGCCCATCGGGGCTCTGGCGTTCAGCCATCACATATCATCTTGGCTCATTTTATGAATGTGGGCTGTGTGTTGCGATGGACGGTGGGCTTGACGCAGGATGTCTCGTCCCCCTGATACGTGGCCAGTGCCACCATCCTCAGCGTCGTCGCTGCTGTCGTCGTGGTCTGTGTGACGGTTCTGGTCCTGGTAGGGATCTCCTGGCCATGGTGATTAACAACCCAGACCTCCGATATTTTTATTTTTCCAACACTTGGGCTCCGGAGGACTCGACCCCTCTCCAGGACCAGTCCCGGGACCCCGCGAGGGCCCCAGATGCCGAAAGCGACGAGCAATTGTCGTCGTGCTTTTTCCAGTCTGTCCCTTGGGTGTCTTCGGCTTTGGGTCCTAACTCGGGCCTCTGGCGGCCCTCCGGGGCACTCCTGGAGCGCTCTCGGCGAGGCGCAGCCGCTGGAAGGCATCCCGAGGAACGGAGAGAATGTCCGAAGACCTCGAACCCCGAACTCCGAAGAGAGGACGCCCTGGAACGCCTCTGGTTGCGTACAGGCGGTGCCCTGGAGGTATTCATTTCCGAGGCTAGCCGCAGGCAGCCTCAGCACCGAGCGCCGCCTTCGGCAGGCCCTCTTCAGGGCGTTGCTCGCTCCCTGGAGTAGGGTTGTCGAGAGCGCCGTGGGCGAATCGCATGGGCCTGTTCTCCAGGCGGGGTCCGAGTAGATGGGGACGGGGGATGGCGCCGCATCGCCGATGCATCGGCGATCTGGCACGATCCTCCGATCCTGTGAACTCCGACCCCATCTGGGAGGCCTTTCTGTCGGGACAGGCAGGGCCACCTCTGAGGCTTTTTTGTGCGAAGCGCCAGTCCTCCTTGGTGGTGGTGGTCTCTCCTGTTCCCTCGTGCCTCCTCCCTCCTCCCGCTCCTGTTCGTCCCTGCTCCTCGTCTCCCTGCCAGCTCCACAGCTCGGCGGTGAAGTCCGATCCTTACCCTCGCAATTCAACGATTCAGGCAACTCGATGGGCCGCGGTGGCAGGGTTCGGAGTTTGTCGAACACGTGGCGACATCCGGACCCTACACCCGCCTCCCATCGATTCTGGGGAATTAATGGTTGGTAGGGGTAGGGTCCAGATGTCGCCACCTAACAGCCACCTCGTCTCCCTCCCTCCTCCCTCCTTTCTCATCCCTTTTTCCTCCGCACCTCGAGACGTGTAGGTAGGGCTGGCCTGGCGTTTCGCCAGAGATGACCTCACTGGTTATGTTCCTGAAGCTTAGATTTTGCATCAGCGTCACGGATGGAGGGCGGGTCGTTTGCAAAATGTGGCTCTCGCCTTAGCGCCGCGCACGTGACATTCGTTTTAAAAGTTTGCAGCAGCTTCACGGATGGAGGGCGGGCCCTTATCAAAGTGTGGCTCTCGCCTTAGCGCCACTTCCAACAAACAAGTGTGCAAGAGTTTCACGGATGGGTGGCGGTTCCTTTTCAATTCTGGCTTTTGCCTAAGCGCCGCGCGCATTCGTTGTACACAAATACCACGTTTTCGAGGATTCTTATGTTGACGTCCCAGAGATGGTGTTTTGGCACGATGTAGGGCTGTCAGGGGGCAGCAGTCCCGTTGATTCGCGGTGTTGAAGTCCCAGGAACGGTGTTCTGGCACGATTAAGAGCTTTCAGACGGTTGTCGTCCAACGGGGCACGCCCCCCCTCAGTGAAAAGAAGTTGTTGGAGGGGACTTATGAAGAGGGATTTGGAGGGAGGGTTCATTTCACCCCATCGTTGATGGGTCTTGTTGGGCTTACACTGGTCCTCCTGCTCCTTCTCCTCATTCTCCTCCTACGGTTCTAAGGTTGTAGCATTATAGCCCACTGCTGAAACGTGCGTGTGAACCTAATTCAGGGGCGTGCAGCAAAAAATGCGCGCCGCCGTTGGCGCTTCTGGCGCACCAGCTGAGACGGGCGCAGTCGTGCTGCCGGGGGATATAGAAGCACCATTGCGGGCACACCACAGTCAGCAGGCTACTACCTGCACGCCAGCGCGGACGTCAGTATCGCCACCTATGGTCGGGAACTGGTGTCTACGGGCGTGGCAGCTCTCGCACCACTGGGCACTTACGGGTTGCCCCGCGCTCAGGACTTGCCCTCAAGGGTATCGACGTCGTGGGCGGCGTGTTGGACCCCGACTACCGCGGTGAGATATCGGTGATCATGCACAACACTCTTCCGCGGACATTCGTGGTCAATCAAGGCCAACGGATTGCGCAACTTCTCCGGCCTGGAACGCATTATCGTGGATTCGGGTATAGTGGTTGTGCCCAACTTTCCTCCAAGTTCTCGTGGGTCTGGTGGCTTCGGGCACTGGTATGACTTTCCTCAGTTTTGACCCCATCCCGAAAGGAGTAGCCACTGCAGCCTCATCTGGGTCTCTCGGTAATTATGTCACCGAAGATTCTAAGGGGCAGCCCCACTAGGAGGAGGACTGGTTAGCCCGCGAGGCTGGCCCAGCCGACCTGCCCTGGCACAAGCGGGCGGCAGGACCAGGACGTCCCGCCTGAGTCCTAGACCCTTCCCCGCTGGTGCTCACGATTCAAGGGTTCTGGCACCAGGATTGTGATCTTCGGCCGCCACGGCCGAAAATGGAACGACCACCACTGAGACAGATGATCGACACGCACGTGTTCCAGCTGACTCAGCATAGGGCCTGCCGCAAGACCTTGGTCCCAGAGGCCAAGCACAGCAGCGCCAAGTTTACGGTGCTGACCTGAGCGCTTACCTGGAACCAGATGTGCAGATGCGACATCAAGCTTGAGGGGCAAGGGCGACCTGGACGATCATCGTCAGGAGGGTGTACGCGGCCTTGATGTGTCGCGAGGTATTGCGTCGCGCGCCCCAGTGCAGCTGTGCTTCATCCAACGCGGGTGCGGCGCGGAAGGCGCGCCCTCGCCGAGGCGCGACGGCAGTTTGCGCGCCGGGCTCGAACGCACCTTCCAGTTCTACGGCTACGCGCAGACGTGACACTAAGTCGCACACCAGTCCGCGCGACGCCGAGAAGCACGCTCAGGACGGCAATTTCGACGAACAACGTAAGGCGTCCGGCGACTATGTGGTCGGCGCCTGCCCGGCGGCAGATCGCACGCGCCAGAAAGCGAAGGTGCAAGAGGACCACGTGCCCCAAGCACGTAAGCAGGTCGTGGAGGACCACTGCAATGACTGCGGCAGCGACCTTACGGGCTTGGCCCCGCATCTTCTGGGCTTCCCGGCCATTGGCGAGTCGAGTCATCGGCGGCGACGATAGGGGCGAATAGCCCAGGGGCGGGCATTGCACGTAATCGCCCGGGAGCCTGTTCGGAGACATAGATCATCGGCGCACCTGAGTACATGTATTGCGCCCCCCTGGGCTGTTCGCCCATATCGTCGCCCCTGAAGTCACGCCGACGAGTGCGACGACGACGTCCTCCATGGCAACCTCGCCGCAGGCTTGCCGACATTGGTGTTCCAGGGCTTATCGGCCCCGGCACCAAATCGCCATTTGGTGAGTGCTCAAACGTCACAGTCCGCCGGGCACGACGACATTCATTACCTCCTCACCTACCTCGCCTCCGTCGATCACGGCGCCGACACCGTGGAATTCGCGGTGGGGGGACCAGCGGACTCGCTGTCCGCCGCAACCTCTGGGCAGGCGCCAATTTCGATTCGGGCACGGGCTGTGACCTTGACGACGAGAACCTGCAGAGAGCTGTGGAGAGACATCCGACAAAGCCGGCCCTGAGTGGCCATCATGGCTCCCGCATGCAGGGCTGTCGATCGTTGGGCTACGTTTTATTTCGAACGGGGCTACTACACTTGGGTGCGCTCTTGCGAGGACGCGGCGCCACGCGGCCGATTCTGCGGCTGCGTGGCATTATTGCAGCGACAGCTGGGCGGCTACTTCGCCAACGAGCAGCCCGGCCCGTCGCGGCTGTGCGACGGGCCGCCCTGGCCAGAGGTGATGGTAGCACCGGGCGTGCGCGGTTATCTTTGACCAGTACCGACTCGGGCTTCCAGAGCAGCGCGGGCGTATTCTGAGGAAGACCATTCGCCTGGTCTCCAACGCCCTGGATATTCTCTCGCAGTTCGTGAACCTCAGGTGCACCGACGAGCGCGCTCGCGTGCGCGTCGGGGGCCGCGATGCATCCACGCCCAGGTGTGGCCATGGAGGGTGGCCGAGCGGATGCTCCAGTGCATTGGATCTACGCCGCTGCCTGAGACGCTCGTATCTCGTGAATTATGCTCGCGAATGCGACGTCGAAGCGGTGGCCTTCCCAGCGGTGGCGTCCGGGGCCGCGGAAGGCGAAACCTGGGGCGCAATGGCCGCGGAGCGCGCGCGCTACTCGTGCGAGGCGCGCAGGCGCAACGTCCGAGCGGACTCGCCGATTCGCCCCGGAGATCCGGCCGCTTGCTGGTGCCCCAATGCATTGGGGATGCTCTGGCTACCGCGAGGAGGAAAGGGGCGCGACCACCTAGCGCGCCCCGAGTTCAGCAATTGCAGGTTCGCAGACCCTCGCGCGCGAGTTGCAGCGCGACCTGGAGGGCCGCGCCTCCCCAGCGATCAGCAAGCTCAACTATCTGGCGAGCCGACCTCGGAGCAGCAGTCGAAGCCGCGATACCACCGGCGCCCGCCTGTGCTCCAGGGGCCAGCTCATCGTCGTCGAGCGCTGGGGCTCAGGGCAGCGGTTCCAGTGACTGTGTCGCCGGACCGCAGAGGTCTGGCCCTGGTGATTGTTTCGCCGGACCAGGACTGCGAGCCATGCCGTTGGCGGGGGCAGTGCCGAGACGCGCAGCGCGATGAGCCGCCGACGCAGCGGTCGGCAACCCGACTCCCTCCGTCTGGGTTCGCTTCGACGTCGCCGCGTCACTGCGAGCCCGGCGTGGCGACTCGCGCAAGGCGCGTGCGAGAGCTGCTCGAGCTGCGCCTCCTGTGGCGGCGCGCCGCTGCGGAGGAGATGGCGCGGGCTCTGCGAGCGGCCGACGTGCCGCAGTCAATCCTCGACCTCATCTTCGCAGTGGTGAATGGTCAATCATGTAGTGAATGTCGTAAATGGCGACCTCCAACTTATCGGACTATTCCCACTCTGCGCCTTTCGGCGCGATGTAACCAGCGTGTCGACATAGGGGGCTTCACCGAAGGCGCCAGTGGCAGGGTTCGCATGGCGGCCTCGGGCCATTTCGGCACACCCCTCACGAGGATCGTGGCCCCATGGGGAGCTCCACCGAAGGCCCCCAGTGGCAGGGCTCGCATGGCGGCCTCCGGCCATTTCGGCACACCCCTCTCGAGTCGTGGCCCCATAGGGAGCTCCACCGAAGGCGCCAATGGCAGTGTTCGCATGACGGCCTCGGGGCATTTCGGCACACCCCTCACGAGGATCGTGGCCCCATAGGGAGCTCCTCCGAAGGCCCCAGTGGCAGGGCTCGCAAGGCGGCTTCGGGCCATTGCGGCACACCCCTCACGAGGATCGTGGCCCCATAGGGAGCTCCACCGAAGCCGCCAGTGGCAGGGTTCGCACGGCGGCCTCAGACCCCTCACGAGGATCGTGGCCCCATAGGTGTGCTGCTTCAACAACCGCGCCTGGGCGTCGTACTCCGCTTTGTCGACGTGCAGCGCAACCTCCCTCATGGCTTTCAGAGCCCTCTCCTGCTTCTGCTCCGCGGTCAGAGGGACGCCGACCTTGTCGTCGTGGGCGCCCGCGAAGACGGCCACAAACGTCTTCCTGAGCATGTCGGGCTCCGGCGGGGAGCCGTTTCCACATAGGGAGCGCGGGCGAAGATGGTATTCACAACTGCGTATGGTTGGGTCTTTCGCCAGGTTGATTTCTTTGTCCCCAACCATCTTGTGGTGTTGGGTCCTCGTTTTGAAGGGACGGTCCCCTCCGCCCTCCTTCCTCCCTCCTCCTTCCCCTCCTCCCTCCTCTCCTTCCTCCCTGCGTTTCACCCACCCACTAAAGCGTTTCGTAGCCCCACAGGGAACTCCACCGAAGGCCCAAGTGGCAGGCAGGGTTCGCATGGCGTCTCCGCATTTTGGCGCACCCCTCACACGGTTCGTGGCCCCACAGGGAGCTCCACCGAAGGCCCCAGTGGCAGGGCTCGCATGGCGGCCCCGCATTTTGGCGCACCCCTCACGCGGTTCGTGGCCCCATAGGGAGCTCCACCGAAGGCCCCAGTGGCAGGGCTCGCATGGCGGCCCCGCTCCATTTTGGCGCACCCCTTACACGGCTCGTGGCCGCACAGGGAGCTCCACCGAAGGCCCCAATGGCAGGGTTCGCATGACGGCCCCGCCCCATTTTGGCGCACCCCTCACACGGTTCGTGGCCCCAAAGGGAGCTCCACCGAAGGCTCCAGTGGCAGGGTTCGCGTGGCGGCCCCGCCCCATTTTGGCGCACCCCTCACACGGTTCGTGGCCCCATAGGGAGCTCCACCGAAGGCCCCCCCCGGTGGCAGGGTTCGCATGGCGGCCCCGCACCGTTTTGGCGCACCCCTCTCACACGGTTCGTGGCCCCACAGGGAGCTCCACCGAAAGCCCCAGTGGCAGGGTTCGCGTGGCGGCCCCGCCTCATTTTGGCGCACCACTCGCACGGGAAGCCCCGGTGGCAGGGTTCGCATTGCGGCCCCGCCCAATTGTGGCGCACCCCTCACACGTTTCGTGGCACCATTCGTCCCACATGCCTTGCGTTTCTCACACTTGCGTATGGTTGGGTCTTTCGCCAGGATAATTCTGTAGCCATTTTGGTTCAAGCCATATCGGCTCAGGCCGCCCTGGGCGAACGGATTGCCCAGCCATCTCCACTCGCTCCCTTGCCGCTCCTGGGTTCCAGTGGCCATGGATCAGACCGAGAAGGCCTTCCAGAAGCAGGACGCCGTGTTTATTGGAGCGAAGCGCCTGCTCGGGAAGAAGGCCGGCAAGAAGGCCCTGCGGTATTGGCGCAACGTCGGCCTCGGCTTCAGCACCCCGAAGGAGGCGAAGGAGGGGAACTTCGTCGATAAGAAATGCCCGTTCACGGGGAACTCGGAGGAGTAAACGGTACCGGTGCCGCTACTTTGGCCTCTATTCCGCCTTTGTGGTGTCCGCCTGGGAGGCCCTCGTCGACACCACTGGATTCGCATCGAAATTCTTCGCGCTTCGCGTATCCCCATCAGCTCATTCAGAAACAGATCGCCATGCGAGTTGCCTTGACCAGAGAAGTGTAGAAGCATGCAGCGTAACAGCCGCCTTGGAAGTGTTTTCTCGGAGGTCTCTTGGAGCCATCTTGGGTCTCTCTTGGGGTCTGCGGCCTCTATGGGGTCTCTTGGGAGCCTCTTGGAGGCCCCTTGGGCGCCACTTGGGGCCATCTGGGCGCCTCTTAGGGCCCTCTTCGGGCGCTCTTGGGAGCTTTAAGGGCGCTCTTGGAGCCATCTTGAAAGACATTGACAAAAAAAGAAGGGAGCTTCAATTAGGGCCCCTCCTCGGGAGCCCAACAAGTCGCCTCTTGGGGCGCTCTTGGGCGCTCTTGGGGCCGTCTTGGAGGCCTCTTGGGCCCCTCTTGGAGCCCTTTTGGGCCATCTTGGAACTGTCCTGAGGCCTTGGAAGGCCATCGGAAGCGAACATGCGGGAAAGCAAACAACACTGGAAGGATTTTGGCCTCTTGGCGGCCTCCTGGGAAGGATCCGTGGCCACCTAGAGCCGTCTTGGAGCGTTCTTGGGCCTCTTGGAGCATCTTGGGAGCCATCTTGAGGCATCCTGGGCTAAGTTGCGGCATCTTGGAGGTCATCTTGGGCTCTCTGAGGCGCTGTTGGAGTCGTCTGGGGCCGTCTTGCGCGCTCCAGCCCCTCGCGGAACCCCCTGTCCAAGTCCAGGGGGGTGGGTAAGGGGGAGAGGTAGACCCTTGCCCGAAGGGGAAGAAGGGGGTTGGAAGAGGAAGCGCCTGATCAGGAGGAGCCCTGGGAGATCAGCGGTGTCCGTATCTTTCGGTTCCCTCAGGAACGTCAGCATCCGCGGCAAGATCCTGAAGGGCATGGCGATCTCCTGCAAGATGAAGAGGACTGTCATCATCAGGCGCAACTTCCTCCACTACATCAAGAAGTTCAACCGCTTCGAGAAGCGCCACACCAACCTGGCCGCGCACTGCTCCCCGGCCTTCGACGTGAAGGAGGGTGATATCCTGACCGTGGGCCAGTGCAGGCCTCTCTGTAAGACGGTGCGCTTCAACGTGCTCAAGGTGGAGAAGAACCAGATCTTCGGGACCGCTCGCAAGCAGTTCCGGCTGTTCTGAGCTTCTTGTCGGCGACCCGAGTGGCTCCTCCTTCCCCTCGTCCTCCCATCTTCCTCCGCTTCGTCCTCCCCGTTCTCCCCCGTCTCCTCCTCGTCCTCCGTCCTTCCCCTCCTCCTTGTCTTCGTCCTCGTCCTCGTCCCCCTCCTCCCCCTCCGTCTCCATCTCGCCGCCCCCTTACTCGTCCCTCGGCCCCGCTCTCCTGTTGGCTGCCCCGGGGCCTCGGTCCGGATCGCCAGTGGCCAGAAGCAACAAAAAAATGCGCGCTCGCGCGGGGCGGGCCAGACTCGAGGGCTCGAGCGCTGTGCGCGGTGGGTGGAAACACCAAATTATTCTGGCGAAGGGCCCAACCGTCTGCAATTGTGGGTACCGCATTATGAATACATGTGTTGGCGGAGCGCCCTATGGGGCCACGAAGCGTGTGAGGGGTGTGTCTAAATGGGGCGGGGCCGCCATGCGAGCCCTGCCACTGCGCCTGCGGTGGAGCTCCCTATGGAGCCACGAAGCGTGTGAAGGGTGTGCCGAAATGGGGTGGGGCCGCCATGCGAACCCTGCCGCTGCGCCTGTGGTGGAGCTCCCTATGGAGTCACGACGCGTGTGAGGGATGTGCCGCAATGGGGCGGGGCCGCCATGCGAAACCTGCCACTGGGGCCTTCGGTGGAGCTCCCTGTGGGGCCATGAAACGTGTGAGGGGTGTGCCGAAATGGAGCGGGGCCGTCATGCGAACCCTGCCACTGGGCCTTCGGTGGAGCTCCCCATGGGGCCACGAGACGTGTGATGGGTGTGCCGAAATGTGGCGGAGCCGCCATGCGAACCCTGCCAGTGTGCCTGCGGTGGAGCTCCTTATGGAGCCACGAAGCGTGTGAGGGGTGTGCCGAAATGGGGCGGTGCCGTCATGCGAACCCTGCCACTGGGGCCTTCGGTGGAGCTCCCTATGGGGCCACGAAACGTGTGAGGGGTGTGCCGAAATGGGGTCTCCCTATGGGGCCACGGAACGTGTGAGGGGTGTGCCGCAATGGGGCCGGGCCGCCATGCGAACCCTGCCACTGGGGCCTTCGGTGCAGCTCCCTGTTGAGCCACGAAACGTGTGAGGGGTGTGCCGAAATGGGGCTGGGCCGCCATGCGAACCCTGCCACTGGGGCCTTCGGTGGAGCTCCCTGTTGGGCCACGAAACGTGTGAGGGGTGTGCCGAAATGGGGCAGGGCGAACCCTGCCACTGGGGCCTTCGGTGGAGCTCCTTATGGGGCCACGAAACGTGTGAAGCGTGTGCCGAAATGGGGCGGGGCCGCCATGCGAACCCTGCCACTGGGGCCTTCGGTGGAGCTCCCTGTGGGGCCATGAAACGTGTGAGGGGTGTGTCGAAATGAGGCGGGGCCGCCATGCGAACCCTGCCATTGAGAGGGTGTTGGTGTGGTGTTAGAGATTTGTTTTTGGTGTTTTGGGGCCTTCGATGGAGCTCCCTGTTGGGCCACGAAAACGCGTGAGTGGTGTGTCGAAATGGGGCCGGGGCCGCCATGCGAACCCTGCCACTGGGGCCTTCGGTGGAGCTCCTTGTGGGGCCACGAAGCGTGTGAGGGGTGTGCCGAAATGGGGCGGGGCCGCCATGCGAACCCTGCCACTGGGGCCTTCGGTGGAGCTCCCTGTGGGGCCACGAAGCGTGTGAGGGGTGTGCCGAAATGGGGCTGGGCCGCCATGCGAACCCTGCCACTGGGACTTTCGGTGGAGCTCCCTGTGGGGCCACGAAACGTGTGAGGGGTGCGCCGAAATGTGGCGGGGCCACCATGCGAACCCTGCCTCTGGGGCTTGCGGTGGAGCTCCCTACGGAGCCACGAAACGTGTGAGGGGTGCGCCGAAATGGGGCTGGGCCGCCATGCGAACCCTGCCATTGGGGCCTGCGGTGGAGCTCCCTATGGAGCCACGAAGCGTGTGAGGGGTGTGCCGGAATGTGGCGGGGCCGCCATGCGAACCCTGCCACTGGGGCCTTCGGTGCAGCTCCCTATGGAGCCACGAAGCGTGTGAGGGGTGTGCCGAAATGGGGTGGGGCCACCATGCGAACCCTACCACTGGGGCCTGCGGTGGAGCTCCCTACGGAGCCACGAAACGTGTGAGGGGTGCGCCGAAATGGGGCGGGGCCGCCATGCGAACTCTGCCACTGGGGCCTGCGGTGGAGCTCCCTACGGAGCCACGAAACGTGTGAGGGGTGTGTCGAAATGGGGCGGGCCGCTATGCGAACCCTGGGGCCTTCGGTGGAGCTCCCTGTGGGGCCACGAAAAGTGAGGGGTGCGCCGAAGTGGGGCGGGGCCGCCATGCGAACCCTGCCACTGGGACTTTCGGTGCAGCTCCCCATGGGGCCACGCGATGTTGCACTGGGCGCTAGGGAGGGGAGAAGGGAGGAGGGGGAGGAGGAGGAGAGGATGACGAGAGGTGGGACGTGGGGCGCTGTCTTGTCAAAACGAGGACCCAACACCACATGTTGGTTGGGATGACTGCGCGCGCGAGGAGCGGGCCAGACTCGAGGGCCCGAGCGCTGTGCGCGGTGGCGCGCTGGCCGGCCGTGCGGCGCCGCGCCCCCCGGGGGCTGTCGGAGAGCACGGAAGGCGTGCCAGGCTGAGGCAGCGCGCAAGGTCAAGGAGGCGGGGAAGTATCTCGACCACTCTTCAGCCTTGTCGTCCTCGCCCTCGTCGTCGTCGTCGTCGTCGTCGTCGTCGTCGTCGTCCTCGTCCTCGTCCTCGTCCTCGTCCTCCTCCTCGTTGTCGTCGTCGTCGTCGTCGTCGTCTTAGTCGTCGTTCTTCTCGCAGAGATTCCCCGAGATCGAACGAGTCGATACCAGGGCGTCGGGTGCCCCTCTTCCCCCTCCTCGTCTCTCCTTGTCCCGCTCCCTCGGCCCTCCCTCCACCCTCCTCCCTGCCCCAACCCCCTACCCCGTTCCCTGCCTCTCTCTATCCATCCACCCTCCTCCCTTCTTTCCTCCACCCCCTCCTCGCCCTCCTCCTCCTCCTCCTCCTCCTCCTCATCCTCCTCCCTCTCCTCCTCCTCCTCCTCCTCCTTCTCCTCTCCTCCTCCTTCTCTCCTCCTCCTCCTCCTCCTTCTCCCCTCCTCCTCCTCCTCCTCTTCCTCCTCTTACTCCTCTCCTCACTCCTCCTCCTCCTCCTCCTCCCTTCCCCTCCGCCTCCCTCCTTTCCTCCTTCTCCTCCTCCTTCTCCTCATCCTCCTCCTCCTCCCCTTTCTCTCTCCTCACTTCCCTCCTCCCTCCCCTCCTCGTCCTCCCTTTCCCTCCCCCTCCTCCTCCTCTCCTCTACCTCCTCCTCCTCCCTCCGCCCCCTCCTTTTCCTCCTCCTCCCTTCTTTTTCCTCTCCCTCCTCCTCCCTCTCCTCCTCTTCTTCGTCCTGCTCCTCTCGCTCCTCCTCCTCCTCCTCCTCCTCCTCGTCCTATTCCTCCTCTTCCTCTTCCTCTTCCTCGCGGCGCAGTGGCTCTCGGGCCTGGCGACCTCTCCCAGGGCAGCTTCCCTTTTCCCCGTCGTCCAGGCGGTCCCACCGATGAGCCGCGCCCGATGGTGCACGCTGTGAAGGCCTGCCGACCCGCCGCCGCAAGAGCCCACACGCCCCATCTTCCTTGTGCTCTTGCTGCTGATCGTGCTCCTCCTGCTACTCCTCCTGCTGCTCCTCCTGCTGCTCTTCCTGCTGCTCCTCCTGCTGCTCCTCCTCCTGTTGCTCCTCCTCCATCCTTCTCCCTCCTCCTCCTCCTCCTCCTCCTCCTCCTCCTTCTCCTCCTCCTCCTTCTGCTCCTCCTGCTCTTCTCGTCGTCCTTTTCTTGCACTCTGCCCCCCCTCCCACCCCCCTTGTCGTCGTCAAGGCCAGAGGAGGCCAGGACGTTTCCTTTGGGTCTTCAGCGGGTTGATCTTCCTCCAGGGGTCTCCGCACAGAGGGGATGGGGGCTCGGAGGGGAGGGACGGAGGGAGGAGCTGGGAGGAGGTGGGGTGAAAGAGGGAGGAGGGGGAAGGAGGAGAAATGATGGAGGATGGACGAGGAGTCAGAGGAGTAGCTGCAGTGATTAGCCGTAGTTGTAGTCGTAGTCGTCGTTGTCGTCCTTGCAGTCGTAGTAGTGGTAGTAGTAGTAGTAGTAGTAGTAGTAGTAGTAGTAGTAGTAGTAGTAGTAGTAGTAGTAGTAGTAGTAGTATTAGTAGTAGTCGTAGT